TGGGGGAGTCACTGTTCCCCCGAGCACAGCCAGGAATGACCAGGAACAACGGTCACAACCTAGCAGAGGGTAGATTTAGGTTAGACATCAAAAGACGCTATTTCACGGTCAGGGCGGCTAGGGTCTGGAACCAACTTCCAAGGGAGGTGGTGCAGGCTCCTACCCTGGGGGTTTTTAAGAAGAGGTTAGATGAACACCTTGCTGGGGTCGTTTGACCCCAGTACTCTTTCCTGCCATGGCGGGGGGTCGGATTAGATGATCTTCTCAGGTCCCTTCTGACCCTAGAAACTATGAAACTATGAAACTATAAGATATGCTAATTGTTATCACAACTCTGAAACACTGGGAATCCTACAAAAAAATCTATTTCTGTATAATTTCTGTCCAGCTTAAGTAGTTCAGATGCATCAGTGCAAACTCCAGTCCCTTTCTTAATGTTTCCCCATACTTGGCTACAACATTTGTTGTGTTTTTTTGTAAATATAATTTACAATCTCATTAAAACCAGTTTGAAGATACAAAAAAGCTTACACTGCGAGTCATAACTATACATCCATCACAGGTGGTTATAAATCACCACAGTTTACTTTTAGGTCAACAAGAATGGTTAAACTAAATCAAACACAAGCTTTAAATTTATGCATGAATTCCATAAAAAAAGCTATGTATACAGGCACAACATCTGCAGGATGCTTACAATTAATGTGGACATTCAGAAACGTAAGAACCATGTTATATGGTAAGAGTTCCCCTGTGAGGAGAAAAAAAAAAATCAGTTAAAGATATTGATTAAAAATGATCACTGCAGTTTTCTTCCTGTCCCTATAGTGATGTTTTAAGCTGAAAAAGATTTTAGAAATTGGCTGCCTCAGCAATTATGGAAGTGATTAAAGATTCTGTGTGTGCACAGAATAAATCTGTCTTTAGAGAACCAGGAAAGTGACCTTGACTCTACTCCCTTGTGTACAATTCATCATTTCCCCCTCCTCAATGTGACATAAAATGGAGATTAATTAGAAGCAAAGGCCCAAAACACAGGAAGAGTCACTTTTTATTTGCAATAATGACTTGATTAGGTCCAAGAGCAGCAGATTAACTACTAATTCAGTAATTCCATTCCCTTAAGGTTGAGGGAAAGGTAGGAAGCTTTGTAGCTGTTTCGAACTGGGGGAACAGAAGTCAGGATTCTTGGTTTCTGCCACTGGCTATTCCACTAACTTGCTTTGTGTCCTTTGGCAAGGCAGAAAGGCTTAGATGTTCCAAGGTATTTAGGTGCCTACTACTGAAATCAATGGGCATTAGGTAAAAAGGCCCATTTGTATATAATGCCTAGGAAGATCTGGGGCATTATGACTTATCCTGCAATGTTGTAAGAGCTTCCTATTAATGTGCCGAGTATTTTCAGTTCTCAGTGAAGTAATTCAGTATTTTGCAGCTTCATGCCTTAATCTTAATATTTATCTTGTCATAGTTAGCAATTTTTGAGATTTGATTGTAAGTCCTGAACTCTGAGGGGTTTTTCTCCCAGCTCTACTTCTGGCATGACCACAATAGCTGGGTTATGGGCAGTGTTGCCTAGTGGTTAAGCCACCAGAAGAAGGCCAGAAACTGGGAGAGAGAGTCCACAACACAGGCCAAATCCAGGGTCAGGAAATCAGGGGCAACATGTAGGGGGTGCACACAGGCACACATGCACCCCCTGAATGTGGTGGTGCACCCCCTACAAAAAGGCACTGCTAACACTGTCAGCGATGCCTGCAGGTGGTCACCGCTTGCCACCCCGTTGCCAACCACTGGCAGCATCTGCAGGTGGTCAGAGATCCTCGCTGGCTGGTGGCATCTGTGGGTGGTCACCGATCCCTGGTTGGCACTTGCCACCTCCCTGCCCTCCGCCACCACCAGCGCTCGTAGCATCTGTGGGAGCTCCCACTTACCACCCCTGTGCTCCTGTCACTGCTTCAGGAAATAGATACTAAATTACCTGGGACAAGGTTTGAATCACTGGCCAAGTCAAAGTTCAGGAGTCAAAGCCAAAATACCACATCCAAAGAAAACATCCAGAGACCAGGAACAGAGCAATCACTGTAAGGAAACCAGGAGTACCAGACCACAAAGGGTTAGCAGGGCAGACTTTCAGCAGAACTGTTGGCTGACCTAGCATCTGTTGCCACAGCTCTGAATATATGGGGAGGCTAAATCAGGAGGCCCAGGCAGTGGCCAGCTGGAGTCATTAGCTGGGTTAGAGCTGCCTGTCAAAGACCCAGGCAGGTGCAGCCCCATAGGCTATTACCCCATGCTGGGCTGCCTGTTAGGGCCCCTGACAGTGGCATGTAATTACATGAAAACTGGAACTATCATAAGAAAAGGTAGACGTTTCTAAGAACACAGAACTGGAAGGGACTTCCTGGGTCACTGAGTCCAGTGCCCTGCTATCATAGGTGCCAGGCTACCCAGAGTGATTGTGGAATCTCCATCCTTAGAGGCTTTTAAGAATCAGGTAGATGAAGCCTTGGCTAAGATGATATAGCTGGGGATGGTTCTGCTTTGAGCAGGGGTTGGACTAGATGACTTCCTGAGGTCCCTTCCAACCCGAATTTTCTATGATTCTATGTAATAGGAAGGAGTGGCTAAAGTTCTCAGTGGGCTGTGAGAAATTACAAGGGGTAAGGCCAGAGGTGTGTTTGTAGAAAAACTGCTAAATATGGATGTTTTATTAGAATGTTTTCACCAAATGCTTATTCAGCTATACCTAACAACAGGACAACGCATATAGCAATAACATGAAGTCTCCCCACATACAATGCATACTCCTTTCAACCAGGGATATGATGATGAACTCGCTGTACAGTCCAGCAGGAAATGACAACATAGTATAAACTCAGCTATCAGTGCCCTTCACAAAATGCAAATACTTTTTGTGAAGGGTGGTAAAACTAGAAAACTCAAAAATGGTGTAAGGCACAAGTGAGTGTAACAGCCAAGGCTTCTGCTTTATTTCATGTCTTACAGTAGACTCAGGGCACAGAGGTATAACTGGCCAGGGCTGTGCCCAGTGCAGCCCCCTTGCACTCCTCTTTCCCCCCATACCTTCTGGCTCTGGAAACTCTGGTAGTGGGCAGCACAGCATGCCAAAACAGCAGCTGCAGTTCTCTGCTGCTGAGGGGAGATGTAACTTTGTTTTGCCACAGATACCTATGCTTAGTGGGAAACAAATGCTTGATTTTGGCAGCAAAAAAAGGGAGTGACATTACTCCTTGGCAACAGCAAACTTCACTGCACTCTGCAGAGTCCCCACACTGGCTTACGGTGGCCACTGAAGTATCCCCATAATACAGGATACCCCCTTGGTGAGGACCACTACCCTCCTTGGCCAATCAGTGCTAAGGGGATGAGGCTACCACAAAAAGGCCACATCCCTCCCTCCCTGGCTGGCTCAGAACTCTGCTCCTCCTGGCTGTGCACTGTCCTACCTCTAGGCACAGCCAACAGAATCGCGAGCACAGATGATTGACATGTATTTCCACCAATTAACTGAAAACAGGACTTTCTGCTGTCCATTTCTCATTCAGAAATGGACAAGGGACAAAGTTTAAAAACAGGACAGTTGGGTATAAAACATGACCAATGCCACCGTATGGCCTGCACTCACCAACGTACACTCTTGTGCCACCCCTCCTTGCTGGAGCTGAAAAGTGCAGGAGGAAGGGACAGTGAGACACATCCTGGTCCATTCTGGTGTCCCCCTGCAGCGGGGCTTGTGTCCAGCTCTCCCAACCACACTTATGCTACTCTCAGGGTACAATATGCCTCCTTCATGACACTGCTTAACACTTTATTCTGCAACTAGGCCAACTGAAATCAGTAGGACTTATTGTAAAAATCAGTGCTATTCAGTGCAAATTTAAGAGAAAAATAATGAGACCCTCAGTAAGCAAAACTCAGAGGGCCTGTATAAACACTTGTAATAGGGTAGATCACATTGGTATAATATTGGTAATTATGGAGAGGAGGCCAAAGGGAAAGTGTAGGTGGTGGAGGTAGTAGGAAAAACTAGTAATAGGAAGCTACTAGATTCAACGGGCTCCCTGTTATTGATAATTGCATTTCCAGAGTTCAGATGAGGGCTCCATGTCATTACAGCAGATTCACCCAGGCTCTGCTTTCAAAAAATCACTTTCAGTAGGTACTGATCTTATCACAGAGAGGCACATACACTTTTATGCAAGTGCCTGTAAAGCATGATACAAATATCTCTGTCTGCTTGTTGTTTCCTTGTATATCTTGATGGGCACATGAATGCAGCTCAGCAAGAGCACCTCTGCACTTCATCCCAGCATGCAGAACTAGGTTCATGGTTCCTGAGAGAGAAGGATGATGACTCAGTAACTCACACCATGAGGTTTAAAATAATCAGTTCATAATTACACCAGTTTGATACACAGTTTGATATTTTTTTTCTGCAGAAGGAGATGTGGTTAACCCTGAGCAGGCCATAAATAAGAAGTTTGGGTGAAAACCTTCATTCTAACACAGTGAGATATTTAGGGCATCTATCAGAAGATTCCATAGCTCAGCATTTCTCTCTCACAGGGTATTCATTAACCTGCCTTATTTGTTTTACATTTGTAGGGCTTATAGCCTAGGGATCTGGATCTGACTTTTTCTTTTGAAAGTGCCTGGAAAGTCAAAGGAGAACTCAACTGAAACTGATGAGTTTCACCTCCATTCCAGCTGAAACTGGAAATCACTGAACCAGAGACTAGAAAGTGAGTCACTAAAATTCAATCTTGCCTTACCCCAAACATGGCCAAGGTGGCTGCGTTAGTTGTAAAACTCAAGCTTTTGGGCAAACCTGTGAAAACTTTCAGCTTCTTGACAATATCCCGAAGTGGATAAATGTCACCTGTTTTGAGCTTTGTTACAAAGATTTTCCCTGGTTCTGGGCCAAATATATTATCAAAAGTTTTCCCTTCCCACATCCTCTAAATATGAATCTAGAATATTTTCTTCTCTTATTACATTTCAGCCACTGAACAGTATCTTATAGGCTATAGCAGTATATATAATGTATTAGTATACACTATAGCTATACAGTAAAAGCTGCCTTAACGGGTACCTTACAAGCCACCTTACAATGCTCTATTAACTGGCATGCCGGGTTGTAAAGTAAAAGCTTATCTTGGGTATATGTGCACAGCACTGGGGCCACATCTAAATGAGATGCTTACTGCACAGTAGCTCATTACTACTGCACAGTAGCTTGTTAGTACTGCACAGTAGTGTTGTGGGGCATGAACCATAATGCAACACTACTACGCAGTAGTAACAAGCTACTGTGCAGTCAGCATCATCAGACCTATCCAGACTTGAAATGATCTCTATGAGATCTCTATCTTACTGCTACTGAACTAAGAAAAGCAAGAAGCTTTTCTAAAAAGATTTGAACTCATTTCTATTCATGTCTTGAGAATATATATTTTTTAATTTCTAAAAAAAATGAAAGCTCAAGTGATACAGAGTCAGCCTTTTGGACTCCATTTTCTTCTCCTGCTTAATCTCCTTATCTTTAATTGCAGTTATAGCAGGGAGCTGGAAATAGAAAAATACTAGAAATGATTCACTTCTACAAGAGTTATTCTCAGATTCCAGAAGGAGCATTTACTAATAAGTTCAGTGGAGCTAAAGCAATGAGTTAAGAGTGACCTGTAAAACATTCAAATCTAGTACTACCGACATTATTAACAAATGCAAAGTTACTATTAAAATGTATCTGTATTTCATTGTGATCTGTGTTTTACCACTCAGAGAAGCATAGTAATTGAAACTGCCATAGAAAAGGCCTGGGTATTTAACTATTTCAAGAGTCTTACTGAATTTCCTGGAAACAAACCCTCTTCTGAGATCATATACATCTACTAGTCCTTTTCTTTGGGTGGAGCAACCTCAATCCCAGTAATTTCAAAATGTTCCCAATAAAAACATTAGGACTAAGTATAGACAGTCAAAAAGCCCAAAGCTGAATTGATTCAATTTTTGCAGGTGAGTCTAAGCTGCGTAGACTGAACCAATATGCAAGTAAACAGACATTCACTTTTGATCTGGAAATGCAGGCACATGCCTGCAGTGGCCCAGGATAGAAACTGGGGGGTGCTAGAGTATGCCTCCCTGTTTGTCTGGAGGAGACAGCTTGGGCCAAGGCTAGCCCGTCCACCCTGTGAGTGGGGGGGGGGGGG